GGCTTTAAATTGTATCCAGCTATACAAGGAATAATCTTTCTAAATAATGTAGATCTTGGATGTCCTAATTGTCTATACCAAAGAAAAACACAACTCTCTGTAATAGATGATGCAAAATTAAATATAATGGGAGGCCAAATCACAATTTGATATAAACCATTTTTTGCAGAAAAATCTTTTTCAACAACTTTATGGATCTTTTGCAAGAACCAAAACCTCTTTTCTATTTAACATGGCGATTGAGAGGTGATAACCATTGATACATACATCTCGGTAGCTAATCAGACTCTGAGGTACTAATGGTGCAAACATCATATGTTTATATTTTATGATGGAACCCACATGTAATTTTACCATCGTTGTGCCCTCTTGAAAACAAAATGCATTTGTTCCAGCCATGGTCATTATATTTTTAGTTTTCCAAGTTGAAGATTTTTCAATAAAAAATTATCTAACTCATAAGTTAGTATGTATTGTTGCACAATCAATGAGCACATCATTTGATTCATCATTAGAGGTTTTTTCATTCATATAAGCTTCTAAGTCATCAACACCAATTGAATCCATCGACGCATCTATGGTATGAACTTCACGAGCCTCAGCTTGTACTTTCTTATTTTCTTGGAAAATTTTAATAAAATATTTTGAAGTATGGCATGCATGTGTTAAATGTCTAATCATTCCATACTTATGGCAAGAATGCATCTCTGATTTTTATTTTCTACTATAATTAATAGTAGAACGTTTATTCTTTCCATATGGATAGAAATGGTCATGATTATGACCACCCTAATACTTATGAGCATGTTTCCCATGTTTATATAATTTTTTTTTAGACTTTGAAATATTAAGTGCATGAGATTCTAGAATTGTAGTTCCAATAGGACGAGCTTCAGCATTGCACAAGAGTAGCTCATTTTGCTTCTCCACAAGAAGTAGATAGGATATGAGATTATAATGACTGTGAAATTTCATGTTCCTATAATATTGTGCAAGCACAACAGATATAAGAGGAAATGAAGAGAGAATTTTTTCAATCATTTCTTCTTCAGAGATGCTTTGTCCATATAATCGTAATTGTGAGACAATACTATACATTTTACTATTGAAAGCATTTAAATTTGAAAAATCCAAAACACATAAATGTCTGCAATTATGACTTGTGCTATCATAATACATGAAGTCTTGCTTAAGAATGCTTCGGATACTTGGTTGTGGAAGGTAGAATAGAAATTAAAACAAAAAAATCCTAATTTTAATAGAATACTAACAATGCTAAACAAGCTTTAATCAAATCGGAAAACCTCAAAGGAATTCCAAAGGAACAATAAAAAATCTTAAAGAAATATTATAATGATTACAAATATATCTCAAATACATCTCAATTCAATCTTAATATAATCCTAATTGAAATCTTACTTCATTCAAACTTTAGGCCAAAAACTAACTAAATCTTAAATCCTAAATATACTCAACTAAAATTCTAAATCCTAAATCAAATCTTGATTAAATCCTAATCAAATCTTAAATCCTAAACCAAATCCTAATTCTAAATTAAATCCTAACCAAATCCTAAATCCTAAACCAAACCCTAATTCTAAATCAAATCCTAACCCTAAATCAAACCCTAATCAAATCCTAATTCTAAATGAAATCTTAACCAAATCCTAGTAATTTCTATAGTAGAATTAAACCTCAATAACTAATGAATGAACTGTTGATCTTAACTCAAATTTTTCATACTTCTTAAAAACTAAGTTGAAAATAAGCACAAAATTTTTGAAAAAGATCGGAATTACCAAATAGGCGATAACCTCAAAAATGTACTCGGATATTGGCCGGCCTCCTTCTCCAACCTTGATGCCAATCTCCCAGAGCCAATATCTCTTCTTTTCATCGTTCGATTGATCTCAAAATTTTCATAGATATAGAAAAATAAGTCTAATATCCTTTCATATAAATTTCACTCCAATCCAACTAGTAGATTGCAAGAAATCTTAAAAATCCTCACTAGACCTAAAATTCTACTTTTTAAGACTTTAATTCACTTAAACCTCAATAACCCTCAATTCAATTGTTAGATCGAGCTAAGATTCACATCACATATTAAGCACAACTATGAACATTAATCGGCAAAATTTCATCCATAGATCTATTACAAAACTCTTGAAATCACTAGAAATATCAACTCTATTTTATTTCACAAACCCCAAATCACCTGAAAACAATCTTGACTTTGTAAAGCTCTTACAAAGTCATAAAAACTCCAAATTGCCCAAAAATAATACTCATAGAAACCTTATTCCATATGCTATCAAATTCCACTCTTTGATTTGCAAAAGAACTCCGAAGTCGTCGTCGAGACTCAATTTTGTGCCTCCAGGTTTGATTTCGACCCTAGTTCATAACCAGAACTCTCCGGGTATCAATATCTAGTTTTTCTAAGTAAATTTTGCTAAAATTTATTCTTAACTTCCTTCTAAAGATGCCTATATCATTTATTTTTTTAATCTACTTTTTTTTGTCTTATTTATGGTCCTACAAAATAAGTAGAAGTCACCTTTCTAAAAAGCAGCATTGGTACCTTTTAGTTTTACTACCTTTTTGACTATTAACTATATTTCTAAGTTAATTTGCTCTAATAATTTGAACTAAGATCTCTTATATTATAATAATTTCTACACTCTTTCACCTATTAGTCATATTACATCACGACAACGCATGGAAGGAAAATAGTCTTTTGATGATCAAACATGGATTTAAGATTCTTCAAAAGTTCTGCAAGATCTTCCATTTCCAAATATTGATGTTGTAATGCAGGTACAAGATGATGACAAAAGAGAAGAAGTATTTTCCAATAAATAGTAGGAGAAATAGAAGTACTTATTGTAGGAGATTCTTCAAACATAATGTCATCCTAGAGTTGTTCTGCAAATAAATTTGCTTTTGCCATTTTTGCCCATAATAGATAATTGTTTCCATCCACAATCAATGGTGGATATAAAAGAGCTTGAAAATGTTGGGATGCAGTGGTAATAGTTGGAACCATAGTAGAAAGAATTAAAGATGTTGAAGCAGTCATTATAAATAAATCTATAAAGAAAATACAAGCTCAAGTAGAAAAAATTGAGTATAATGTACCTTAAAATATAAAGTCAAATAAAATGATAAACTTGAATTTAAAAATCAAAAATATTATTATTATTTTATTTATTTATTTATTGACAAGGTTTTGGATTGTGACAACAAAGCAGCAATAGGATGGCGGCAAGCAACAGTAACAGGGTCGGTGACAGTTGGTGATTAGGAGCAAGGATGGAGTTGACGGTTGTTTGGCAATAGTCGACAGTCATCAACTGCGGCAATTCGACGGTTGTTTGGCAGCATACGTGGGACGCAGCAGGAAAGTTGAGTTGAAGCAAGTATTTTAAGCAAGCAGTGCAGAGAATGGAGGAAGTGTTCTAAGCAAGCAGCTAATGTATAAGGAGCTAGCAAGAAGTGCAGCAAGATCATGAGACAAATAGTGAACAAGAGTAGCAATAGGTTTGAAAAGTCAAGACTAGAGCAAAAAGAATTGTGATAGTCTCTAGAAGAGAGTCATGTTGATAATGTGTCGAGAATGTTTAGAAAGACACAAGAGTAGTAGTAAATAATACACACACACACACACACACAAGAATAATCGTAAGTAATACACACAAGAGGGTTTCTAAGGAGAGAGAGTTTCACACATAAAAATTTATTCATCTGGTTGTGTCTTATATACAAGAGGAGAGAGGGAAGAGGATAAACAGTTCTTCTCTACTACATTCTAATGTCTACATTTAATGCTCTCAACACTTGGAAAGTGAAAATAGTTGTGGTCAAGTTTTTTGTACAAAGGAACTTGCACGGATGTTCTATTAGAGGATAACTGCAGAAAAAAGCAGAAAAAAGCCTGCAAGAATAAATTCTGAAGTACTGACAGAAGTTCGATGTATCTACTTAAAAAAAAAACTATTCATCACCAAGTCCGATGTGCCTTGGATATGGGAGTCCTCTATCATGTCACAGGTCATGCTAAAATGTAACCAACCACAACGTAGTTGACATTCAGTACGTGTCCATGTCAGTACGCGTGTACTTCTTACGGGTACCCAACTTTTTTGCGCATCATTCACTTCCACCCCCCTCAACGGTCTCCGAACACATTTCCAGCAACGCACTCCTCGAACTTGTGCAGCCGATATCTCTTCAAAACCTCTCGCATCTGATTCACAGCATCTGGGTTCAGAAAGCTACCAAACCGTCGCACATTCCGCAATTTCCTCTGGAAGATGCTCGATGTATGAGAAGCGGGATCGCTTCTGAGTTGCTGCAGCTGCTCTTACTTCCGCTGCAGCACAAGTGATGCTTTGGCATTCATTCAACATTGAGTCCTTTCAAATTCTTCCTAAGCTTGAAACATCTTCCTCTTCAGCTCGGGCCCCTGACCTGGAGGCCATCGATCCTTGCAAACTCCAACACCTCAGCAAAACTGGAAGACCCCAAGGATGTAGGCTGGAATTGGGACTCGAAGGCTGTGGTGAGTCTTGATTTGAGGAATGAAATACTTCTAATTGGAAGGTTTTTTAATTAGAGGTTTGATTCCTAACAGACATGGCGTAGATGTACACAACGCTATATTTCTGCACCCATTGTTCGTAGCCGACAAAGGACCCTGCTTTGATTGGCGATATTGACTGTCTAGAGGACGGAAGCTTCTGCAAATTACGTGCTCTTGGCAGATAAAGTAAGTTATCGATCGCCGAGGTTTTAAAGAGTGCATAATAGGAAGGGACCATGAAACTGGAGGCTAGATTGTGAAAAACTGAAAGACAGTAGAGACGGAATTGAGTGTTGTGCAACTTCTAGTGAAGCTTCAATACAGTTCGAAATGTGAGCAGTATCTGTTTCTTTGGACAAAAATGAAAGATGCTAATGAGAATTAATCACCTAACAAGGCAGTGTAAAGACGGAAGTGATGAGAAGGATGACATGTTTCAGATTGTGCAAGACATCTGAAATTCAATTTATTACAAAAGAACGGACCACACTGGAGTAAGAGTTGCTTGCGTAAAGCTAAATCAACAGGGCATCGGTTGTTGCTATCGGTCAACGCTGCTTACTTGACATATGTCAAAAATCATCAAGCCGTACTTTTTGTTACATGTGAATGCTAAGCCTCTTCCCCTTTCCCATCTGTCCTGTTTAGTAGCTGTTTCTGCCGTTTGTTACAAAAATTGGGGACTATTCCTCCTCTTCGGCTGTCAAATCCTTGGACGCTAGATATTTAGATGTAGTGGAATGCTTGAAAGGGATATAGTTGATTTCGTCATGATCGCACACTCGCCAATCGACCACGTAATCCAGCTCTTCATCGTCATCACCTCCCTCCGCAGCTGCAGCCACTTCTTGTTGCTGCACCAACAGGCAAATAAGTTGAAATTCCAGTCAGAGATATCATCTTTACTAATTCAAGCGCTACATCACGTGCAGAGTCTCAAACAAATTCACAGCAGGATTGTTAATATGATGACGTATACCTTTTTGGCAGACTGAGAGAGGGGCTTCAAACGCTCATTGGCAGGCTTCTCCCGGCTTGCCCCTGCAGATGGTAGCTGAACGGCAGTCTCCACAGCAAGCTCAGACAACAACTTATCAACCTCCTCCTCAATCTCTTCTTCCATGTCTTCGTTGTCGAGAGCCGAGTCCAAACCCTCGTTCAGAATTTCTTCCATCACTCCAGCCTGCCACATACGTTCACTCTTTCTTAGGCGCTAAACCATTGCTATTACTCCTTTCCACCTGTGAAAATTTCATCAACAGATCGAAACCGATAAGAACGAGCCCGGAACCGAAGAGGTAGTGAATACTACTTATGATGGACATTGGACAGCAAGCTAAAAGAAGCGTTACATTATCTTCATCTCTTTAGACATTTCTTGCATGGTGGCCGCCACCTGAGGGGCCTTCATGAGCTTTTTGACTAGCGTCATAACTTCGGTGCTCTTCTGCAAGTGCCCTACGGCCCTTGCTGTTGCTGCAATTCACAATCCCTTTCGTCAATCAATTAATTAACCCAGAGCACGTGGTCCAACTCTGCTATACTTTAGATGGTTTTTGTTTAAATAACATGCCTTGTTCTGGCTTAGTTCAGATGGAATGAAGCAATGAACGTGCAACTTTCCTACTAAAACCCTATAGAGACATCGACAAGTGTGAAGACGGTGATCGTCATACCCAAACTTTCTCCCAGGTGCATGGATATAGAATTGAGTTGAGCGCGATGCTCATACAGGCGCCCAACCACCTTACGGGAGCTAACTAGCTAGCTTGCCAAAGACTGAAATTTCCTCAAATAAAAGCTCACTAGTTAGCTTCTCCTTTCAAATTGCCTAAGACGATAGAACTGCGCATCAAGGCAAGCGGACATGCATAAAATAATATGTGGTGGACCAAATTCTGAACTTCATAGAAGCAGACATGCTTTCATGTGATTACCGCAGCTTTCATCCTTCTGTATATTTACTATGTCTGTCATCGTTGAAGAATATGACGATTTTAGAGATGAAAAGAAGCCAAAGGGCTAGCAATTGGAACAAGCAGGACCACGCTGCGAAAGGTTTAATATAAAAAGAGCTACAATGATGGGTAAGTCACCTTCGCCGATTGCATATCATTCTGTTTGGCAACATCCTTGATAGCCTTCTGTACACACTTCTCTTCTCGTTGTATTTCTGGTAGACGGAAATCATTAAACATTAAGCTAAACATTTAGAGACAGCATTCTAACTTCCAAGCTTTATCTCAAACTCGTTGCTTTGATTTATTTTTTGTTTCTCCGACCCTTATTTCAAGATATTATGTGGCGGTTCCCAGGGAAATTCCTGCACAGTTGACAGGATTGGAGAGCATGTCATCTGTGCAGGAATCATCAATTACAAACCACCTGTAATTACTCCTCATGCATATAAACCTGGACAGGTAATGTACTCTAAGAGCTATTTGCCACAATGTATTAGAAAACACCCTGAAAACACAGTCTCCCAATCGTCCACAATTTCAGAAATATCACTATTAGATGTACATAGAGGCGTAGAGGCAAGACTGTTATTTGGGAACCACAGAGAACAATTGGCTTTTCTTCTGAGGATCACAATATGCCCATCATTTGCATAAATTCCGTTCAAGTTGCAATGAAGGCAGTTTCCAATGACTTAACAACCAAAAAAAATTTTAATTTTAATTTTAATTTGTTATGTGCTTAACAGCATGAGTTTCCGCTAGTAATATATGTGTAAACTACACATAAACATATCCTGCTGCTTCGGATGCTGCACAATACTTAAGCATTGAAAAAGCCCTAGAATGTAGCTGAATCCAGGGTTTAGGTCAGACCCTGGAACCGCATCTTCTCTCCTGCGTCGGATCGCCGCTAAATTGCGCTTTAGACATGGCCATCATCCCCCACGCTCATCACGCGACTCTCGTTGTTTTTCACTGCACCCCAATGTGCTATTCTTATCTCTCAGTTTGACATTTTAATGCTTTGACCCACAATTCGTTTCTCCCTGAATTTCTGAGATTGTGATAGATAATACTGAACACAGATTTCAGTGAGTAGGTGAGGTTATATTTATCCAAGAGATTAATCTATATATATATATATATATATATATAGAGACGTTATCATTACACAACTTTTAGTATGTTTTAGTCATCACACCACTTTCGCACCACTTTGATAGATAGTTGATTAGTCACTGCACTCACCAACTTGGAAATTTTTGTGGTTGCATGTGAGCTAATTGGATACTTCGCTAAGCGATAGAAATGTTAATTGTTAATTAATATGGAAGTTGAGATTAGAAGTGAAATGTATTACGGACGGAATCTTTTGTGAAAGTGTATAGAATGTAAGGGAAGAGAACAGAGATATTTAATTTGCACATTGCGAATACCAGATTCAAAACCACGAAAAGCCAAGACTACTGAAAATATCTTGAAAATTTTAGAATGATAGTAAGGTCAACTATGTGACTGATTTGTCAAAGATTTTTCCATATCAAAAATAGTCCACACACACACACATATATTTGTATATATTTGTCATATATGTATATATTTGTCATTCATCTCAGCGAGAGGCAGAAATTGGCTTTGATTACAGTGATAGTTTCGGGTCTTGTTCCTGAGCATGCGCATCGATGCTTCGCGCACTTCAATTTTCCTGGCAACCGCCGGTAATCGATCATAAAACTCTGCAGAGACAGCGAAAAGATCGAGCATGCTTTGATTCCGCGCTTGTCCAATCCAGGTTCAGTTGTGACTCTTCATTCTGACGCTACTTGGCCATTGCTTAACAATATTAACTTCTGAGCAGGAACACTCACTCCATCCCAGCTCTTTCACATCGGATCCTCAAGCTGACAAGCGCGTGCAGTCACAGCCTGGTGAGTAGTACACTCCACACTGTAAAGCCGTTGCTCTGAGGTCTTGGGCAGTGCTCTCAAGGTAGAATTAGGTTGATTATCTGTTTCCCTATACCCAGTTTTTCCACCAGAAAACTGAGTTCACTTGAACAGTTAACCCTATGCGCTAAAACGCACAAGAACAGCTAATTGATCCGCACACGCAAAGGAATCTTCGAGGCGAGCATGCGAATCTCTTATGCACGATCAAGTGTTGGGTGAACAGTATTACTGTTGGTGAATTTCAACTTGAGAAGCTGTAACGAGAAGTGGTACCGCGAGGTCCAGGCTGCAGTCGACTTTGGTGTAATCTTCAGTTCTGGGTCATACGCAACACGAGCTCCTCCACACTCGCAGCACACCGACAGTGGTGATGGGTAAGCACCGTGTTAAAGCATATATTCCTATGGGTGTGGTGTCGCTAATTTTGTTCGTCACCCGTCCAGTGCCATCGAGGTTTCGGTCCATCCTTGCATACTCGTGATAATGGAACAGTTTTCAAAGTCTGCACTATATGCTACCACTTCGAAATCCTCAAGAATGTTCCTTCTGCCTGGTGCCTCGCAGCGGAAACAGAAGACTTGCACCTCACTTGCTACACGCATGAGATTCAAGACGGCCTCAATGCTTCACCAAAACTTAATGCAGGAACAGGGCAAGGTGGGGATCTAACAGCAGCAGGGTGGGGAAGCTTTGTGGTATTCGACAACATCGTCAAGGAAGGTCTGAACGAGGACAGTAAGACACTGGGAAAGTTTTCAGGATGGGGAGTTGTAACAAGTATTGGAGGGATTCCAGCTGGAGGTGCTCAGATGTCGGGACAATTTGACTTCGGCGAGGGATCTGAGTACAATGGATCAAGCATCGCAGTTACGGGCACCGTGTCTGTTCCCGGAGTTGGCCCTCCTCCGCCGTGGGAGCGCATCATAGTAGGGGGCACCGGCAAATTCAGGGGATGCAAGGGCTATGCTATTGCACAACCAGCGGCACAGGCTCGTCCCTTGTACGTGTTCCGGTGGGACATCCACCTTTCCAAATAGACGTCGAGGATCTCGTCAATGTGAGCTTTGTCTTCGCAGCCGATAATCTTTTTTGCAACTGTCTCACTTGTTATTCTTTATTCCCTAGGTCATGGCATTTCCAAGAGGCCACCCTCAGCATCTACTGTATGGTATTTACTGTCGACAAAAGAATCTTTCAAAGTGTGAGACATCTCGTTGAATCTAAACACTACAATAGTGACACAACGGGTATTGTTGGATCTTTGACGAAGTGATTCAGTTACTGAGAGTGATTTGAATCAGTGACATCTAGCAACTGATACTGATGTCCTCATGACCAGCTAAGATACATATTTATATAAATATATAAATAAATTACAAGGATGGATGACATGGAGTGGCGTAAAATTCCCGGCATTGTCACTGCCCTTCAAGTCCACCTGAGCCATGATCTAAACGCTGCATGATGAAAGACATTATTGTCGTAGAAAAGGTATTCGAACAGCCAATCCTGAGAAGTTGCTTGGCTTTTCGAAAAGAGCTCTCTCTGCTAAGATTTATGTATCTGGGAACAGCGGTGGCACAGGACAAATCATCTTGGGCTTGTAATCTGTTCCCCATTCCACATAGATTTTCCCTACACTTCCAGACATGTTTTGTTTTGCCAGAATCCCAGTCGATGCATAGTCTGACCATCTAGAACTGAGCAACTGCGCTGCAACGTTTCTGAAACTGTGGCGCTGCGGGCAATCGATCGGCTTGCACGACGCCAGCTGGGTTTGGAAGATGACCTCAATTATATTGTTGTTTTCAACTGTGCTCGGTAGGCATTGGCGTCTGCGTCCTAGGGTTGCTGACATTAGCGTTGTCAAGAATCTTCCAGCGCAGTAAAAGAGGGATGAGTTATTCTGCGTGGCTAAAATGTCCAAGGCGTCATGCGTAATTGTGAGATTTGAAGCAACGATCATGACGATTTGACTAGGGTCTGAAATGATACCGATGCACTCTACAATGCGCATTATTTTTCTTTTTGGTACAAGAAACCACGGAGTACGACATTAGCAGCGAAAAGACAAAGGGAAGGAAAACAAATCTTAACAGATGTTTGATGGGACCCCTTCCACACTAAAATCCTTGTGCTCTTGTAGAAGGTGCAGAGGCTCCACTAATGAATAAGTGGAACAGTGAACAAATCATAGATTGAAGAATGTCTTCGGCTACTTCCGTTGCAGCATTTTCTGAACTGTCTCCTGCTTGTGGAATCCTTCACCGCTGGTTTTACTTTTACGATTGTCTTCCGAATTACCTCCAGCACTCCTTTACGATCCTTTCTCGTCTTCTCTGGTGCTACTCGTAAAGTGAACCGCGCCTGCGTTTTCCCCCTCCTTGTTTCCAATCACTGCTTCTTTTCCTGCTCCTAATCTTCTCTCTATAGCTTCAATTGGGACTGTATTTCTACCGACCGCTTTTCATGAACTTGTAATTGCATCTTTTATTTATTTTTATTTTTATTTTTTGTAATGATTGAAGCTTACTACTGCTTCGATTGAAGGAAGCTCTTGTTCATCAGATTATGAGTTGGGTTACTCTTTGTAACACTTTATTACTGACTGTGATGCGTCTGATCAGGAACCTTCGTGTATTTACAGAGTGAGATATCTAGCGTAATAAGCGGCTGCTAAAATCACGATTGATATGAAATGCGTAATTTTTGGCGACTAATGATCTTATTCTGCTGGAGCTCTGGACCTTGTCAACAAAAGAACCGAGAATAAACTGGCCATTAAACGAACTGCATTTACAAGAAGCCAATGTCGACGTTAAAACAAGGTCTGGGTCCCTGCTTCTCCACCCAAATGCTTCAAGTTCTTGTTTACTTTCTTCGGTTTCTGATACACCTCTAGCTGCTTTCCAACAATCACAGAGAGAAAGTACAAATTTTGTGCAAACAGCCCGTTCGAGCAAAGCTCAAATAAGATGGAGATGAAGATGGAGATGAAGATGGAGATGCTAGTCTCACACCATGCATACCATGCATATAATCGATTTTTCTCCAGTATACCAACAGCATCATAAAAAATTAAATGAAAGAATGTCAGACAATACGAGTACAATGGTACACAAGATACAAACAAATCAAATGTGATGCATATACAGACATATGCATTGCATGAAGGATCGAATCAGCAGTAGGTGCAGCCAACATGAAGTAAAATCATAGCGCGATAAGGCAAGGCATCATTTACCGAACAAGCTATCGTGGTAGAGACCGAACTCACGGATGTAACGAAATAGTAGGCTTTTTTGCTTCGCATGATGTGGTACACCACCGAAGCCCTACTAAAGCATTTCCCCGAGTCACCGTCTCCATAAATACGATTCCACTATTCCCCACGATGGAAAAAATCTCGCTCAATACTTCCACCTCCTCGCATCAGCACTTTCAAACAACAGACTCACACACCATCGGCGTGGCAATCACAACCAGAAACTCAATGACAGTGTCCCTGGATCCTTACACCCAAAAAGATCTTTTACAATATGCACAAAACAACACATCAAAACAGAGTTCAGTCAAATGACTCGAATAAAGACTGACCCAGCAATAGATCAAGCACGTCCGGATGCCAACCGCCCAAATTCCACTGCACGCAACACCGCGACAACTAGCTTGTGGGTGCAATGCCTGTCCAACAAGAGAAGCAGGAGCTGAAAAACCCATGGCACACACTCGAAGCTTTCCAATGGAACAAGCAAATGTGGTCACTCTGCCTTACGCACGAACACCTTCAACCCTAATTCCTTGTTGTGACATTGTTGAAGCTCTGCAATCATGATGTACGCAAAACAGGCGCTGCAATGGCTTCTCATACTCTGCTCTCATCTCATCCAAGCTAGACTGTAAATCATTTCAAACATGTATCAACAATGCACACATACATGTGTGTATAAGTGTATAATAAATATGGAATAAAAGAATGTGGTGGTGGTGGTGGTGGTTGTTGTTGGGCTGAGGTGGAATTGCTCTGTCAATGGGGTTGAGAACTGTGGCCCAGCTGCTGTATGACAAAACTTGTCCCATTATTGACAATTATAAGTATTCCCTTAAAGCATACCCATCAGGCCCTTTCATTTTCTCATAGATTTTTGAAGACAAAAGTGAGAAAATTAAAAGAATTCGATAGAAGTGGTTAGGCATACTATCACATAAAATGTTTACCTTACTCAAGAGTGATAGAACTCACACAGAAATAAAGAGAAAAATGACAGAAGAAAAGAAACGTGACTAAATTTGACATTTTGCCTATTTTGTAATTTGGGTTTGCAACATCCTTTGGGTTTATTTCATGCCAAATCATCACTTGAATAATAAAAACCTAATTTGTACATTTTAATGGTGCTTTGAAGCTTATGTTGAAAATTGTTACAGCCTATGTCTTGGTTTTTCTTGCAAAAGTAACTTGTGTCATGAAGTTTCTCTAATATACATGTACACATACTTGTAACACAGAAGAAAAAGAAGTAGTAGAAGGGACAAGAATGAGCTAAATAAAATAAAAATAAAAACTTTACAAAGATTGAATCACCTCCATATTTTCTTTTTGATTGTATAATTTGTGTGATAAGATTGACTATTGTATATTGATTGATATTGGTCTCATCAAGCAAATCATCCAATAAATATGTAGAAAAAGAAAAAAGAAAGAAAAACTACTATTTATGACTTGGTCACTAAATTTCAGCATTACACAAGTATATTTTTACTGAAGAAATAGTTTATTGTTCTTTTTTCTATTAAAATATTCTGTTTACTTCATGATTGATCAAACAAATGATTTTGTGAAGTGAATGTGCCACTTTTATGGGTTCTTGATATCACACAAAGTCTCTCTTTGTCTAAATCTTTGTCATTTTTACAACATTGTCTATAGTTCCACTTGTTCCATTTCCCCACATGTTTTTCTTCTTCAATAGTTCTGTAGCTCTTCTACTACTTCTTCTTCTTTCTTCCCCAATTTCCTTCTTTCCAAGGCTTCACATTCAAACATCACAATTTGTGTAGAATTTCACGTTGTTTTAAAGAATTGAAGGAACAATTGACAATTGTGTGGTAGGTTGGCTTTCTCCGTGACAAAAAATGATCGAAAAGACATCCAACATTCTTGTCAATGATTTGCAAGAAAAAGAGATCATCCACGGCATCCATATCACTTCTCCACATAATGCAACAAAATTTGGACCCACCCCTACATCCTTGTCTTTTTGCAGCCTCAGTGTGAAAAAAGAGCAATTTGCACACAAAGGGAGTTGGATTCAAGAAATAGCAAGACAGTATTTAAAAACAAAAAAATACATTTATACTTTAAACTAGTAATTCCACACACACATATGTATATATATATATATATAACTTTTTAAAACTCTAAGAAAAGATATTTTCAAGACATGGGCTAATGCTCGACATTGATTTTACACATTGATTTTCTTATTATCCTAACGTATGATAAAGTCTGCAAACCTTTTTTTAAGGGTGAATCAGGTTACTTTAACTTTTAACTGACCATACACCTTTTTGTTTGCATTTGAGGTACAAAAACCCTAAAGGATCATATGTGGTGCTGTGCAACTCATTTCCAAGGGCTGACTTTGCAGGCTTGTCAGAATGGCAAAGAAAAAAAAACAGGATTCCAAGTTGCTGTAAAGAAAATCTTATGTTTTATATACTTTTTGTTGTGCCATTTTTACCATAAATGGTGATGTTTCTTTCATGCCATACGAAGCCTTCAAAATTAGTCTTGAGAAGTGATGTCAATAGAACTTGGTTTTGTACTGTAAGTTCCACATGACTAAGAATCTCTTCTTGCCTTGAAAGTGATGAAATAATTTGTATTGAATTTATGTAACTTGGCTGTTATGGATTCACTGTGGACCTTTAAGCATTTATGTGGTTGAATTGCCACATTGGGTATTTGATACAATTTATTTTATTTTATTTTATTTTAATAATTATAGGTCGTTTTCTTACTAAAAAAAAATTGAAATGTTTTTTGAATTGTTTACCTATTAGATGTTATTTCTGAAGATTTCAATATCATTTCTAAGTTGAAATTAATAGCACAAGAATAGAATAAAAATTAGAACATCTCCACCCAAAGATCTCACACAAAAGATTTACAGCATTAATGATCAAGCCTGAATTTGTTGCATATCATTATATATTGATTTTTAGTTGTATTTTTTAAATTATTTTTAGAAAGTGGTCATTTCTATTTGACGAAATGATTAACAACATTGTTAAAAATCTGTTTGTAGTAACATTTGTTTTTTGAATAATTTTAATTTTTGAATTAATGACTGTTATTGATTATTTTATCTAAGATTATTTTTATGATTCCATCACTTTTTATCTATTAATTTATTCTTAGATCATTCCAAAATTTATATTTATCATATATT